GTGTGAAACTGATTCAGTTGAACTCTGCAGTATATTTCAGTGAAAAATTCAGTGAACTCTGCAGTAACATTTCACGTGTGCCAGGTGAGACATTCCAATCAAGCTGATTTCAAACAGGAAAATTCAGTCGAGTAAACTTCAGAAAATCTTCAGGAAGACTTACTCCTGCGGTGAGGAGTGAAAAGGTTCTTGCAGTAACGGCGCCCCGTAGGGATCACACAGCTTACCACAGTGGGAAGAAGCTGCGAAGACACACTTGAGAAGGTTGCTCCGTGGAGCGCGATTTCAGGCTGCTTCGCGGTGTGCATTAGCACTTTAAGGGTAGTTACTGCATTAGCCGAATGCATTAGCACTTTACTGCAAAACAACGTATGAGACAGCGTTGAACTGACTTAGAAGCATCAACGAATGAGAATTAAAATTGCAGGTACAAGATACTGCGTCCAGTATCTCTTCCAACCGAACACCATAGCTTTGTTAGCACGGCTAGGTGAACGGCCGCCGTGCCCCCTGCTACTGTACAAGGTCTGAAAAGTCATAGGAATAGAAATAGCTAGAGTAGTGTCCTTGGAAACAGGAGTGGACACACACACACACACACACACCCGGACGGTAGTAACTCATGCTCACGACTCGAAAACGAGCCAAGCTAAGCGTGGAGAGGGGCAGATCATGCGAAGCTGGAGGCCATGCCATGCATGACATCATGTGAGACATCCAGGAAAGATACATGGCCCGCCCAAGCTGGACGTCGGTGATTCCTGGACTTTCCGGGATTTTCTGCATTTTTGGAGGACAACCTGCACATCTAAATATATCATATAAAAGTCTATACAAATTGTATATATTGCGACCCTTCCCCCCCCAATGGGCCACCACGAAAGACACCATGTCGACGTACGACCGACCCGCAAGGCGTTTCCGGCACCGAGGTCCGAGTACCAGCTGCGGGCCAAGGCGCATCAAGACTTTGGAGCTTTCACGATCCTGGCCAGGCAGGCGATTGATAAGGTGTGCTGAGATCTTGTGGCTTGTTTAGGGCCTTAGGCAGCCTTGGGGGTCATTCAGGATAAGACATATGTTGTATTTTTCTGTCATTTGGGTGGGAATCCCGACTGACTCACTGAACGTACTCATCCCTCCAAAGCTTAGATGAGTTGATGCCGCAGATGGGAGGCAAAATGATGGGAGACTTGGGTCTGTGCGAACTTACCTGTATCAGTCGGTAGACAAAATTTTAAAAAATTTAATATGTCTCGCTATTTTAGAGATGTCTTCCTGCAACTGAACCATCATCATCCACTTGTTGTAAGGGTTCGAGTCTACCCAAGGGAGACTCATTGCTCACCCCATTCGGAGCCGCCCCCCCCCTCGAAGCGCTCGCGCGCAGGTGCCCCGGCACCGATTCCGGAGGGCTGAAATGCGGGCAAAGCGGAGCCTTGGAGGCGGGTGATCGTTCCATGACCCAGACACTCCATGTAGGTCTCCCTATAAATTCACCCCAGGTCAATCACCCTAATTTCGGTAAATATATAAGATATACAGTATATATTATATTATATTATATACATGAAGATACATGGATAATCATGGAGATACATGGAGTGACTCTATAGTAAGGTGATGTTCCACCAGTCTCCGGGAGCGTGTCGAGTCTCTGATGCCCCTTCTGTTGAGCATGGGAAATTCTGTGAAGCAAACAAGGCCAGTCGAAAGTACTGTCGCCCACTTTTGGTGTAGTGCATCAGGGCACAAGCAGAAGTTGATGCCGCAACACACCTTGGTCGGTCGCATTGGGCAGCTGGAGAAGCAGACACCTGTAGAAACATCCTTGCTATAGGACTATACATCACTAGCGTCCGAGTGGTCAGCTCTTGATTTCACTGGGTCCGGTCATGCAAAAACTGTACGAGGCTGAGGTCGTTCGCACCAGGTTTTCTGACTGGTCCGACTGGACTGGATCCGGATCCATTGCTTGATCATCTTGATCCTACTCGTTCTTCCGTGGCACCAGGTGCAGCTCCCAGGTGGTGCTTGGATGTGTGTTCCAGCCCGCCGGGAAGAGCTCACTGTCATGCCGGGTACCCTCATGGAGTACCTCACTGCAGGAGTGGACGACGGATGATCCGGGACTCCGTTCGTGCCGACCGTCGAAGGGAGAAGATTCTGGGAAACAGATGTCAATTGAATTGTCGAAAAAAGTCATCCAGCCAGGACGGTGAGATGTCTTACACAATTGTGAGCAGGTTAGCATGTTCGGATAGCGTGTACCCAAACCTCTCTGGAACTGCGGAGGCCCGTGGCTTTTGTCACACCATGCGGTCCATGTGGTCGTCCTGACTGGTGACCTTCCGCCGAGTCGTCCACGAAGGACGTTGCCGCGGGGTGATGCACCGAGTGTCCAACCCACCGCAACGAGTCGCTTCAGCATCCAGGCGCTTGTCCTTGACCTTCGTTTCTTGGACGAAAAACGGCGGTGACGGCGCGAGGAACCGCGAGCCATGGGATGCGGATGTACCTTGACCTTATATAGGATAGTCTATCGGGGTTCTTCAACCTTGCTGGTATGTGGCCCGTTTCTATTTTTCTTCTCCTTCCCATTCCTTGATGCTGGTGGAGAGGGCGTCCCGGACGAGATGCGTTTTTCGGAAGTTCTGTGGGCTTCGAATGTTCCTGGATGCCCCAGGGAGGAAGCACAGAGCACCCGATCCTTGAGGTGGCTACGCTTCTGTTACTCCATTGGGGGCATGGGCGACCAAACGACCTAGGTGGACCTATGTCGACCTGATTTTATCGGCGTGGGACTGACCCCAAACGAACTCACCCCGAGGTAATATAGATCGATCGACATAATCTGATGGAGTTAGAGGAATTCATATCAATTCACCACCTAAGGGCATCTCAAAACCCTGACCCTTGCGAGGTCGTCAAGCCGGACTATACTGCTGCTGCCGTCCCTCCTGACAGCTCGCTCGCGAACGATCCGGCCACTCCTCGGCTGGGCGATCTGTGGCGCGTAGGCGCAGCTTTTGGGCGACATGAGGGGTGGAGTAGTGGTGAACCAGGGTGTGTGTCATGACATGCCTGGATAACACGCAGGACGTTAGAGGGCTGTAGACCATCTAGGCGAGAAAGTGCTCTTGAAACGGTCATTTTACTTGATTGCGGCCGAGAGGAAGTTTTGTTGAAGATCTCATGTGCATTCGTGTGATTTCAAGTCTCACAGGTTCCCTCGATGTCACGTGTCGCAGGATGGCAGGAGAAGCAGCGCTTGGAGGGTTCTATGCCCCATGGCGAAGCGGTGCAACTCTTCCGCCGTCATCGACAAGCCTTGCGACAGCAGCTGCTCTTGGATACCTGAGGAGCACCATTCACTGTCCATGCCAACTCGGAGCCGGTCGTGGCCGGAACCGGGTGGAAACGAGCGAGCGAGCCGCGGCGTCTGCCAGTTGGAGGATCAAGATGGTGGTGAGTGGTGATGGGACCATGATGGGCCATGTGGAGATCGCCAGAAAGAAGCGCCAATGATTCAATTCAACATGACGACGGGGACAGAGTTGTGCGATGAGGGCAGTGCTTTCTTCGCTTGAAATTGCCAGGTGTGATTCGGGCAAACGGAGGGGATAGCTGGTGCATTTGCATGTGGGTGGGGGCCTCAAGTCAAGCACACGATGATGTTTACCCAACTGAAGACTATGGAAAATGGCTGCCCCAAAGCTTCGTCCTTCACAAACCGCTTGTTTTCAGGATCCAGGTCCATGCTAGTTTGCATGGCGGCACTGAATGTGCCTGCCTTTGGCAGTGCACTCAAACAATACAACCGCAATATACTAGTACCTCGTGCATATTGGGCGATAGCTCGTGCATCCCAGTTACCACTATATAAGCAACCAGGGGTTCTAGCTCTATGGTTTTAGTCTTGGACACCACTGGTTACCAGCTATAGTGGTAACATGTGGTAACTGGATGCCCTGGGTACAGTATAAGCAACAACATGGAAACACGATCCGCAGCCTTCGCCTTCGTCTTTGGATGGGCGGAGTTCGCGGTGACAAAACGTACCCCACCTGCGATCGCTCCAAAAAGCAGCCCACGAATGTCGAGGCTTTTGCGCGCATGGTGGAAGCAGTTGGGTGTGACCTGGTTTTGCTTAGTAGGCTGATCTTTTTTACATTGCGCTATTATGCCAATCCCGGTGTAATGATAAATCCCCCAGATATCCCCCAGATGGGGAATCGGATCTTGGATTTCTACTCCCGGTTCTTCGAGCAGCGATCCAAGGTGAACATGTCCACTTGCGCTGCAACGCCACGGATGTCGATTTTGCCCGCTGCCCGGTCGGGTAGAAATCGTGTATGCCGCAGCGATGAGTTGCCAGTCCCAAGGAAGAAGGAGTGCACGGTTCCTGCTTCAATGAGTGCTTGATTTGGTCAGATGGCCTGCTGAGGCCAAAAGGCTAATTTTCATTTTTCAACTTTTTGTTGAACATGATTCCATGATTAGTTATTTTTGTGTATCGTTGTTGTATCATGTTTTATCCTTCCAGCCACATCCAGCGACTGCCGACGAGTCATGTCCAATTTTACTCAACTCGTCGACCTTCTCGCGCCAACCGCGTGAGGTTTAACCACGGCACCCACCAGTCAGAAACAAGCATGTTCGGCACAAGGAGTGGCAGTTGGAGGACGCCTTAGCTGTTCAATCGTACTAATAACTACTATTAGAGGCGAATGACCGGGGTCCTGGCACCGGCCTTCCCCGCTTGGTGCAGCGCTCACCCCAAAGATAAAAGGGTGCTCCGAGGCAAGAAGTTAAGTATGAGCCGTGAACAGCTTTTGGCCGAGAGGAAGCGGAGAAATGCATGTTGGATCACGTCACGTTGCGCCGAAGATCCCTCCATCCTCGGGGAGACGCATTTCCGTCAGAGGGGGGGGACGGCATGGGGAGAGCCGATGGTTTTTCCAAGAAATGCACCAACAGACACCAACGGAAGAAACCATGGAAAGGAGGCACCGCAAAGCCAGATGAAATATGAATTGCATTCAGAATGAGGATGAGCTACAGAATCCGGAAACATAGGCACCTGGCAGAGATGTACTGTAAGATGGACAGGACGCATCACCACTGACCGCGATCCTGCTCACAGGCGGATTTGTCACAAGCTGACGCCAAAGAAAGTGCATGATTTGTCACAGTGGTGCCGTTACCATGTCTCCGCTTGAACTACTTTTGCTGGTCACAGGCCGGGACAGAAACTCGCAAGAGAACGATATCCGTTCTGTGGGCAACCGCGTACGTAGTTTTTGTCGCACCGTCATACAGGATTTGCACCATGGACTCACACATGATGCGAAATGTAAAGCCATTTCCTGTTCCCGCCTCGTGCAGAAGATTGCATCTCAAGCTTCGCACTTTACTATCTCCATTTGCTGGGTTTTGGGCCGGGCGCGAACATTCGCAGTGGAGTGGTGTGGTCTTCCGTGAGGGTAAAGGGCCGCATGCCTGGAGAGAGGGGGGAGGATCAGAAGAGAAGAGAGAGAGAGAGAGAGAGGCAGAGGCATTCCCAAAGTCATCGGCATGTAACACATGTCACACATGTCACAATAAGAAGCTCACAGCCCTACCAGTGCGAATGCGCGTGGGAGTCCAAGTTCGTGGGGTCCCGCGTTTCGTGCTGCAAAGGTCCTGGCCAGCTACCAGGACAGAGGCGTGACAGGTGGAGAACATGTGTGTTCCACGCGCAGCGATAGATGTTCCGCAGGTTTTTTTGGACACACCAAATAATTGGCCGATTCAGGTCATGACGTCACCTAGACATCCTACACGAATCAAGGATTGATTTCGGCAACCCCCGCGAGGGGGGGGGTTGGGCACCTAGTCGACGACTGTGGATGTGCCGCCCTGTTGCTACGTTTTTCGGCCAGGTCGTGTGCACGACCTTACGGATGCTCATAGCTGCATGAAGCAGAAGTGCTTGGAGGCGGCTTGGAGGGGAGGCATCTGACATCATCTGACAATTGAGCTTTTTGGAGCTATTGGTGTGCCAGTTTTAGTTTGGATTGCTCGTCCGTCTTTGAGGTGAATCACCACTTGCCTTTAAACATGTCCTAATCACACGTGACACGGGCTCGCACTTTCGGCCGGGTTGAGGCCGACGGCGGGTTTGCTCACGCTCCTCACGCTCAAGCTGCCCAAGCTTCGGCACCGCGCGTCTGGCACTTCAGTGCTGTGAAAGGTCAACAGGATGAAGCTTGCTTCCTTCCCTTTCCCTTTCCCTTTCCCTTCCCCTTCCCCTTCCCCTTCCCCTCCCGTCCCTTCCCTTCCGTTCCGTTCCGTTCCTTCCCTTCCCTTGCCTTGCCTTGCCTTTCCTTTCCTTTCCTTTCCTTTCCTTTCCTTCCTTCCTTCCTCAAGCACTGCCAATGATTGCCGTGGTGAGCTTAGGCCTCGCAGCACTATGGCTTTGCGGAGTTGTAAGACGGCCACGCTCAGCCTCAAACGAATATGGCACGCCACCTGCTTCAGGGAGTCAGGGAGCACTGCTCTCCTTGGTTCTTCCAAAAGCACCAGGCGTTTTGGGAGTTCCAGCCAGATCAATTGGTGAAGTCAACTTCCAGCTTCCCGGCTTCCCGCTGTTACTATGTACAGAACTTGCCCACTTCCGCGGCTTCGCTGGAGTGCCCAGCCGAGCCTGCGCCACACAACCGTCGCAAAGGCTTCGACGCAAGTAGGAAACCCATTTTTTTTTTGCGTGCAAACATGAGCGACGATGGCGCCAGTGTTTTGTTTTGCATTGGCTTTCGTAGGGGTTGTGGATGCCTTTGGGCCTTTGGGAATGGCATTGTCACAGCAGATTGGTAAGAAACTGTCAATACTCAGGACGTTCAAGTTAGAGGATGGAACGCGGCAACTTTGCCCTTGACAAACAGAGGGTTTCTCACTTCCATGGTCTTCCATGATGGTTGTTGTAGGACGATGCAGATGAGCTTGATTTGTGCCAACCTCTAGCGATCCCTCCACGCATCGCTACTGTGCCGGCACGCTGAAAACGGCTCAAACTTCCCAGAGTCCCAGAGCCAAATGGACGTGTTCAAGGCAAAACATCCATTTGAACGGGCCGGGGCATATTATGAGCACTCTCAATTTTGACTTGAGCGGGTTGCAAGTACTTTTCTCAGCCACCCGCTCGGCCTACAAAGTGAATGATTTCGGGGAGCTTTCCCAGAAAGTTTGGGCAGGGTGGCCCCAACCAACCGATCTAAGGCTCTAAGGTTCATTTTCTAGACCTTTTATATATATATATATATTTTTTTTTTTAAATTTATGGGGTTTGCAAGGCTGACACTTTCTCCACAGATGATAATCACCACCCTCATTATTACTATATATTATTACTATATATTACTATATTATTCGAGAGACCTTGCAGCCTTGATCAGATGCCCCACCGGCATTTGGATCTTGGGGCAATCCTTGGTGTGTATAGACTTTGTGTACTCCATTGGTCCCCTCGAATGGTCAAATCGTGAACAACAAGAACAACAACAACCTACAAAAATCCAACCATTGCCAGATGTTCATCCAACGCTTGGGCGTTGGATTCCCAGTTTCCGTCCCCACCGACTGCCGAACAGACGACCGGCTGCCTGGGCCATGGCGCCTTGCCATGGCGAGAGCTTGCCACGTGGCGGGGGGACCGAGCGAAGACGTGGAGGCGGACATGGTTCGAAGGACGACGTCATTTCTCGAAGTTGGCGCGACTTGAAGCACTTGATGTTCAATGGGCGCGTCGACAGTTAGATCATGTAGAATATAAACACAGTACGTTATATCATTGATATATAATATATATAAATATATACTGTACTGTTTGCATGTGCAGCCCATAAATACTCCGCTAGGATACTGCAGACACGCGACTTATGATATATTTTGGCTCAAGGTGAAAAGGCGTTCCGAAACGTCGAAACCTCGTTTTCATGGTAGCGCACGAGTCCGGTGAAAGTGACAGGGACAAAGCGCTGCGCATAAAGGAAGAGAGACACGGTAAAGTCGAGAGCTCCGAGGAGGAGGAGCTGGGACCCTCGGGAGCGGCAGCTTCTGCCGCCCCGAGTGGAACAGGAGAAGAAGGAAAAGTAAAAGAGGAGGAGGAGAAAGAGCCTTTGCCAGCCACATCAGCGGCGGATCCAGCCGCAAGCACCACTCCAGCGGTCGAGAAGACCGCAGAAACAACCTCAGCGGTTGAGAAGACCGCAGAAACAAAAGAAGAGGAGGAAAGTACAAAAGGAACAGAAGGACCAGGAGAGGAAGAAGAGCCTGAACAAGACCCGATAAGAAGAACGGCAAAGGATCAATTGTGATCGAAGCCGATCGGAGGCATGTTGATCTTTTCATCCAGGCACTTGGCTTGGAAAAGGCAAATGGTGTAGAATCACCAGATGTCAAGAAGTCGGCAGATCAGCAGATGCTGGAAAGCCGCAGTCCGCTGCTAGATAAGAGCGAGGCATCGAGGTATCGCTCAGCCACGATGCGCGCTGCGTATCTGTCCCAAGATCGACTTGATATTGGGCACGCAGTGAAGAACCTCGCTCGAGGTATGGTGTCGCCAACAGAAGCCAAACTTGCAGACTTGAAACGTCTCATCAGGTACCTTAAGAAAGGTTGAGGATCCAGGTCGACGCTGACCACGGTGGAGATGCTGTGACACGCAAGAGCACGACTGGCATGGTTGCCATTTATGGCACACACGTGCTGAAACACAGTAGTAACATCCAATCCACCATAGCCCTTTCGACAGGCGAGAGCGAATACTAAGGGCGGATCTGTGGGCTTAGGACTTCAAAGCCTATGCGCAGATCTTGGTTTGGATTTGGAAGTCACCATAGAAGGCGATTCCAATGCAGCCAAAGGAACCGTCAACCGAGTTGGATTGGGTAAAGCCAGACACATCCAAACTCGCTACCTATGGTTGCAGGAAAGAGTTGCCGAAGGCCACTTGAAGGTGCACCACGTTCCAGGAGTTAAGAACAAAGCCGATGTGTTGACCAAATCGGTTCCTGGGGTACAGCTTCGCAAGACGATGGAGGACTTGCAATATGCCTTCCTCACTAAGCGCAGCAAGGGGCAGCTGGATGTTTTGGAGTGAGGTCCCTGGCCAAGCTCCACTACTACAGCTGAGAGTGGCTTAGCAGCGTGAGGTTTCACATGTTTTACTTTGACTTGCGCAGCAGTACAGTGCTTTGCAAGAGGAGGAGTGTTTGCATGTACAGCCCATAAATACTCCGCTAGGATACTGCAGACACGCGACTTATGATATATTTTGGCTCAAGGTGAAAAGGCGTTCCGAAACGTCGAAACCTCGTTTTCATGTACACATATATGTGTAACACACACACATATATATATAACATACATATACACATGTGTATGCCGGCCTGAGCAACAAAAGCCATGCCGGTGAATTGCTATGCTTACTCTCTTCACCATGGGGGTGTCAAAATGTGTTGCCGGGTGACCACAAAGCGGGCTCTTGATTGAGTCCTACAAGCCCTTTGGCTACTCTCATCACATCACCTAAACAAATTGATCCATTATCATTTGCACAACAATTCCATCGCCCACAGAGAAGCCCACGCCAAACTAGGAACCGAAATAGGTCCATGTGACGGTCATGCGACCGACCCAAAGACGCAAAGGTCGACGTCCGGCACGTGTTGTCCTTGCTCCTAGTAGCTTCTTGCTAGTAATGGCCTCCAACCTAGTAACTAGTAGAGATGGCCTCCAACCTAGCCTCCAACCTACTAGCGATGGCCTCCAACTTGCTAGCTTCTTGCTCCTAGTAAGGCCACGTTCGCCCCGTTCGTAGCGTCCGACCGCTCCGTTCGGCCGTGCGATGCGTCCTAGTCGCTCGCTCCGTCCGTTCGTCGCTTCGTTCGCCCAGGCCGTTTGGCTCTTGTCCTCGCCTCAGAGACGGAGGTCCTTCGACCAACGTCCTGCGGATCGAAGCGAGTGCTCGGCAGGACCGGTGCGTGGACTACCGCGCAAGGTGGAGGCACCTACAAGGGGCCAGGGCCTCAAGACCACGAACCTGGGGAAGGAGCCATTCGTAGTACAGATAGATGTGCATATTATGGTATATATTATATGTAAGATCGATTTATGTTAAACTCTAGGACCTAGAAGAGGCCAACAACTAGCGATTTGAAGCATGTCACATTATGTTTGCGCAGCTTTGTGGGGATTGTGTGCTGACAGCCTGTTTGGGCATTGGTTGCAGCAGCCAGCTCGCACCAGGTTCGTCAATCCCTTGCGGCACTATAATGAGTCGGATGGCTCGTTGGTACGCTCTGTCTTGATTGTGAGCGTCAATGTCGAAGTTGCATCCAAGGCTAATTTGTCATTGAAAGCTTTGTTTCACCAGCAGTTTAGGCGACATGCTGCCAATTACATCAGGCAATTGCAGTCACAGTTTCTCGTGCTGGGTGTGGGCAGTGGACATCAGTTCGGAAAGAGCGATACATTCATCTGGAAGAAAGCGCACGAAGCCTATCAACCTCGCTTGCAACAAACAATTTAGCCGCCTTGATTCCTTTTTATGCTGCAGCGGTGTGATTTGTTTATTCTGATCCACTAAGCTGCAGTGGTGTGCTTGCCTTTCGGGCCTATCCCAAGAGTAAATGTTTGTTAAAAACAGATTTTGTTCATAAAATGGGCTCCTTGGGGCCTGCGAATCCGTTCGAAAGACGCATGCGAATCCTGGTTGTTTTGTCTCCGAGTTGGGGACCGTCGGTCTGTCGTTTTTTGTTGTTGCACTTGTGACAAAAGGATAGCACGGCAAATGTGCAGTCTGTGAAAGACGTCTTTGTCATCTCCAGTGTTTGTTGAAATTAGCTTTGTGGAAGACACCTCTGGAGGGATGAGTGCAAGTCTAGACACCTCCGCCGACGTCCGCCGATGTGATCTGAAGTGACTTGGTGAAGCAGACGGATACGGAGAAAGAGGGCAGCGTTGGGCAGCGTTCACATAGGGGAAATCATAAGACTCAGATGACTTGGTGTCTTTTTCTCCTCAACCTGGCTCCACAATGGGAAAGTGCTGAAAGGGACGGCAAGAGATGACTTGATCGTTTTGCTGTATCTGACCATCGGATTGCCGCATGGTCCGGCAGGAGCTTGATCTCCCAGGCTTGGTGCTCAACAGGGCCATACCAGGCATACTACAAAATCCAAGTGGATGGTCAATAGATTCAATAGTCCCCCACCCTTTGCTCGCCGTCGTGCCGTATCCACTTTGGGTCGTCTCGTGCCAGCGCTTTGTGCTACAGCTGGATGATAGTGAGACCACGGAAGAGCTGGCCTTGGCGGTGCAGGTGGGGATCGACTCGAAACATGGACATTCCCCCATATATACAAATGGGATCAAGTGGGTGTGCTCAAATCCATTGGCGTCCTTCCAGTTCGACCCCACGGGGTCACTGGAACATCGACTAAATTCTAATGGGCCACGGGGTCACAGCCTATTAACATGCATACCAATGCATACCCAAATCGCTCATGAAGAGCTCTACACCATTTGAGCTGGAAGGTCCGGCTATGTTTAATCCACTCTTTTGCCTACAGCCATGAAAAGGGCTTGGAGTTTCTGCTAGATCAAGTGGATGTATACTTTCGTGTGGATTGTCTGAACGTGCGGATGCTGAGCCTCATGTCATCTCGCCCACAGCTTGTTCACAACACATGCGTTGTGACTTGCTCAGATGTGGTCAGATGAAATGATCTGAATTGAAGAAAGCTCGAGGCCATGTGGACATCTAGTTCCCTTTTTGATGGGATGCTCAAAAGCAGGTGTGAGTTCTGAAATTCTGCACCCATTTTTACACGGCATGCGGCATAGTCCATATTGGCCCATAGCGCAGTTTTCGATGGCTCTCGTCAGTGTTCATTCAAATTGGCATGGAGGCCCACTTGTTGTGCTTTGCCGTGTGAGGGTCCTTCCCGGTTGACTGAGCCACCTGCCTCACCGACCTCGCTTCGCGGCGCAGCTTATTTGGATCAGATTTACTTGAAGTGAGGTCGGCTTATCCGCGCGCGAACAGGCGGGCGAGGTGGGGTGCTGAGATGATCGGTGTGGGACATCCTGAAAGTGCCTGTCCCCAAAGTCTACCTGACTGATCGACGGGGTTATATAATGTTATATAGCAGATATTACAAGATGTCACAAGTTACAACAGGTCAGTGGTGTCTCACTGGGTGTCCACCTCTTTTCACAAACTTTCTTGGGCGGCCAAACCTGCACCCAGCCCGATGTCCACCCGCTCCAGCCCGCTTTCCGCCCACCCAGGCGCATGGCCGGGGCCCGTTTGGCCCGCTGGGCCTCGCTGCTCGTCCTCGTCTCCGCCACGGTGGTGCTCGACCGTCCCGACTCGGAGTACCAGGCGGTGTGCTGGGGTGAGGAGGGGTGAGGAGGGGGGCGAAACCGGTGAGGCGTGGGACGTGGGCCATGAACCTGGAACCCCCAAAAGACCTCACGGGCAGACCTTAGTGTCTCACAGGCTCAGTTTGGAGCAGTGCAAGCACGCTCACGCTCCGTATAGGATCGAGGGACTGGGGCATACGCGGACTTCTCTCTGATGGATTTCACGTCTGCAGCCTTTGAGTGTCTACCATGCTCCACCCAGTCTCCATGCGTGCACCCGTACGCACGCGTGCGCATGCACACACGCGTGCAGGGCCAAGCAGAGAATTGTACCAAGCTCTTCGTGACTTGGAGTTTCCTGGAGTGTGGATCCACCATCCATGTAGGGGAACATTTACTCTACATTGACCCTCAAAACACCTTAAACATCTTAAAAGCCACCCCAATGAGGTGAGTATTCCATACATGGATTGTCAGGGGTGTCTTCACAGCCTTGGGTTGAAACAGCGTGACCGCTTTTCCTTCCAAGCAACGAACCAGCGGTTTTCTGAGCAATCTTCAGCGGTTTTCTTCGGTCAGTTGTTCCCGGGTCCCCCCCCTTCGTTTCCAAGGACCTTGGCAGCATTTTGGGACAGGTTTGTTCGGCAATCTTGGTTTGAAGGTGCACCATCGATGAGCCTTTCCCACCGTTAAAGGTGAAAACCGAACGCATGTTTGTCGATGGACCGACGTGGAAAGGGAAAGCGCACGGTCAGATGTCCAACCTGCTTTGGGTCATGGCTTGCCCAATGATGCTGCTGCTGCTGAGGAGGAGGAGGATGGATGAGAATGAGAATGAGAATGAGAATGAGCACGACGACATCATCCTTCCAAAATAATGATATGATTAGATGGACTAGTGCCAAATACACTAATGAAAGGAATAAAGTATGAGGAAGTCCTTACATTTATAACTTTGGCCCTGCGCTCCTGCACGCCCAACCTTGTGCACACCTCTGCGGCGCACTGAGGTCGATTCCACTCCCTTCGATGAACTTCCGGAGGGTTTGAATCAGAAAGTGCACCCGAGGACTCAACGTTCCGGCGAAAGGTGGTTCTGGTGAGGGTAGACACATGCATTTGACTTGCGGCTTTCTGCTACAATTATGGGTTCAGCGCCCGCCGGCGCTGAACCCGAGAACCCAGGGTGCAAAAGGAGTGTTGCAGTGTTTTTACAATTATCGAGTGGAGTGGCACTGCTAGGAACATGCTAAACATTGTGCAAATAGCGGTGCTTTGGGCGGCAGAAACGTAAGACAACTGTAAAAACAATGTTTTTTGCCCCAAATTGCATAATCCAAAGAAGCCTCGTAAGTATATGCAAGTACTGTACTTTTTGGCTTGCCAAGGTTGAGCATGAATCATTTGTATTTATATGCATGAATACTGTACGTATTTACAGGTATTATATACGTTTTGTTTGGCTTGTCGAGGTTCAAGCATTTAGTCTGGAGTCCATATATTTGGCAAGCTAGACGAATGGTCCCTACGTGCAGTGGTCTAGCGCGCAGGCGCGTTTCCTTGCGTGGGCGCGGGAAGCCGGTTCCAGGGTTGAGGCCTACATAGGCCTACTCACAGTGGCACGGGGCGATTGTGGGCAAGGCTTGTCCCTGTGGGACCCCAACGCCAGCCCCACTCCGCTCATGTTCGTCCTAGACCGGCGCAGACCTCTTTCGGCTCGTTCCCGCCTGGGTGGTCGGGTCGTTCCGGCGAGGAAGAAGGGCTTGGAGTCCGCGCAGATGTTGACCGTTCGGGCCGTGTTCTACGAGCCGCGGCCTGTGGGGCCCCTTGGTCGCCGCCACGGGGCCAGTTCGATGTGCCAGCCCGCGGGGTGCACCCCCAAGTGGTGCGGAGAGGGCGGAGAAGCTGTGGAGGCTGGTTTGCAGGTCGTCAGGGGAATTGACGAGAAAGAGACGTTTCCGCGTCATGGAGGTGGGAATGCCTCGTGTTGAGGTATGCATGGCCATGCAAAAACATGTCCCTGCCCATGAGCCGGAGCGTAAACATGCCCCTCAGCCGTGAGCGATGGCAAGATTCTTGGGACCCCGTCTGACCAAGTACGGGAGCTTCTTGCGAGAGTTGGCGCTTCATGCCACTTGTTCTCTTGTCGGAGTGGACCTTGGCATGGAACACGCATAGTTTATATATATATATACATATATACATGGCACCTGGTCCAGAAAAGAGCACAAGCAGTACGGCGCCGGCCCTGACACTCAGGTTGAACCCCAGCAAGGACAACGACCTCTACACCTCTGCGTTCAGAAACATGCACGAGAGGGATCTCTACATTATGCGGCACCCTGGCGAAGGTGTATTTTTGACACATTTTGACACGATGGGTCGATCTTGTGACTTGTGGAAGGTACTGGTAACGACACGCACGCGCGCACACACACTCTGACAGTTGTATTCAGTTAACTCAGTTACCACGATGGGAAGGATGGCGGTGGAACAGCATGGCGAAAAGTCCGAGAAATTGTAGGTGTTTGAACAATGGTTGTTTCCCTTGACTGCGGTGACAAAGCGGCTCAAGTTGCACCTCTGCTGGGGAGGAAACCTGTTTATGGGGAAGGTAGCATGGGAACAACCATGAAAACGAAGAACAGCGGCGAGGGGAACCAGTGGAGTCAGTGTGTCGAAAGCAGGTACAGGAAGGTGATCAGCCTTCCCTTCCCATCCATGACCGCAGCTTCGTTGCACACGGTAGGTCATGGATGCCGTGTGCCCCTGCCTGTAGAACTGGGGTTGAAAAGTGGTAGTGGAAAAAGCGGTAGGAAACCCTTTGCCCAGGGGTGGACACACACAGATCGCCGTCTTCGGCGCTTTTTTCAAAAAACGGTGGCAGGCTTGTTGGTTGTGTCCTTTTTGGACGTAAAGCCTCACTAGCTCGGCTGCAGCAGCGTCAGCGCTTGAGGGTGGAAAGGTGTATTTGTGGATAGTGCGAAGTCTGGATTGGAGGCCTGACAGAGCCAAGCGCTGGCTCCCGGCTGTGGTGACATCTCTGATTTTCCAATGTTGGGAAGGTTGTATGTAGGTGATGGTGCGTTGTTGGAGGTCAATGTTGAAGTAAGGAGGTGAAAGTCGTCCACCGGTTCAAGTTCGACTGGGTCGCCAAAGAAGTTGTGGTGGATAAGGGTTTGAATGGCTGGGTGGTGGAGGAAGTGCTCATTGTGGACAATGAAACGGTTGTCCACGTAGCGGTAGTAGGTAAAGTGTAGGTTCGTGTGGTGAAGTAGGTTGTTGTGGATCTGATGCCAGGAGTGTTCAATGAGTGTGATGGCAACGTTGCAAAGGGCTGGAGAGAGTTGGGAGCCAATCCCAGCTCCTCGGATTTGCTTGTAGGTGTTATTGCAAGCCCGGAAAATGCAGGTGTTGAGTGCATATGCGACAATGGTGGTGATGTCAGAGGTCTGGATAGTGCGTTGTGTGGGGTGTTTCTGGTGGTGTCGGCCGATGTGGGAGTGGTGGAAGGGGTTGCCGGTGGCGTGAGTGTCCACTGTAAGGGTGTGCGTGGATTGTTGTTGTTGCCAGTGGTGAATCATGGAGTGGACGGCATCGATCAAGCGGTGCTGGGGAACCGAGTTGAAGAAGCCCACCAGGTCGTCATCGGTGGCGTGCAGGGAGATGTCCGTGGGGGTATTTGTGAGGTAGCTGTGGAAGTGGTGCCAGAGTTGTGGGATGGACAGTTGTCCTGGATGTTGCGGGTAGAGGTGCTGGAGGATAATGTCGAGGGCACGGCTGGTGATACGTAAGAGGTTGCCAGTAAGTGAATGAAAATATGAGATGATAGTGCGGCCTTTCTGCCATTGTTTCTTCTCCTTGAGGTGTACCACCCCATAAGGAATGTTGAATTCCTTGCGGAATCCCCATTTGTAGCGTGTGCGGAGGATGGTCGGGACTGTGGACTTGAGGTGGTTGTGGATGTTGTCGGCTGTATACGGAAGTGGTTCGAAAAGTTCGGGGGATTGCCATGTGTTCAGGACTCCGGTGAAATACTGGCGGGGGCAGAACAGTCGGAGTTGTTGTAGTTCATGGTCGGCATGGTGGAGTACTGTGTGTGGGCCGAGAAGTTCTTGGAGTTGGCGGAGCAAACGAGCTGTAAAGCGGGGTTGTTGTTTGAGATGTGTATTGTGGAGGCGCCATTGGTGTGCGAGGAAAGGTTCCACATGCTGTACGAGGGATAGTGGTAGCCCTTGGAGCTTGAGCCACTTCGTGTAGGCCGTTTGGAAAGTGAGGAAATAGCGGGCTTTGCTGGGGTAGTAGGTCCAGCCCAGCTGTCGGGGGCGTCGTCCTTCAGAGATGGGTGTGGAGGTTTCAGGACGTCCGCCAGAACTGGTGGCTTGTGTGCGGGTGGAGTTGGTGGATGTGATGGTTCGGCAGAACCTGTGGCGTGGCTGGTGCCCTTCACAGGAGTGAGGGGATTGCCGAGGTTGTGGAGCTTCTGTTTGGCGCGGGCAAGTTCGTCGGTGGTGTTCTTGAGGGCTCGTAGGGCTGTGCCTTCCGTAGGTGCGGGTGAATGGGATTGGAGTTGTTGGATGAGGAGGTTGATCAACGGGGCGTGGAAAGCCCGTGCCTGGGTGGTTTTGCTGGGGACGTCGGTGCCCTGTTTGGTGTGGAGGGTTTCGGCGATGCCGTCCAGGTCCAGGCGTTTCTCCCGGAGTTCCTGGAGGAGGCGTGTGACGAAAACAGATTCTGCCACACTCCTAGTGGCGATGAAACCTGTGTATTTCCCATGGCTGAGGGTGCGGGCTGTATACTCGGCAGTGCCATGGTATGCAAGCTGCCAGGGAAAGATGTCGAATGTTGGAAGGCCGGCAACTCCTGCCTTGCGCGACCATTGGGTGGGTTGTATTGTTTTGTAGAGCTGGTGGCCGTGGAGTGTGTTGGCGTCCCAATGGTGATCAGTTTGGTTCCAGGATTCCTGGGGTGGTGGCTGAGGTGAAGGGATGTGGGGTGGTGGGGGAGGTGCAGATCCGGAGCCAGCGGCCGCTCCTGGCTGTGGGCTGTGTTTGAACGACGAACCTGGTGGAGTGACTGGAGCCGCGGTAGGCAGTGGTGGAGGCGGCGGAGGTGGGAACTCTGGCTTGGATGGTGGAGGCACTTGTGGTGGAGTCACCTGTGGAGGCGTGTGCTGTGGTGGTGGTATGTATGGGTGTGTATGGTGAGTCTGGTGTGTGCGAAGATAGGTGCCAGTGGGGTTGTATGGGTGGTGGCTGGCAGGAGGATGGGTGGTGGTGGTCTCTGTGGTAGCGAGCTGCTGTTGTTGCTGCTGCTGGAGCAAATAGTGGTTCCAGTAGTACTGTTGCCATTGTGCGTCCATGATGATGAAGTGCCGGCTGGAACTCGAGTAAAGACAATCGCGAGTAGTTGCTTGAGCAAGCTGAAAAAATGGAGGCGCAAACAAGGTAAAGACATGTATGCTGAGAGTGAAGGTGTTGAAGTTGACTGCCATGTGGCCTATCCGCAAATTCAAGGAACAGTGGAAAAAACTGAACTGCACAGTAAAGCGAGTGCGAAACCAAAGTAGAAACAAAACCAGAAAAACCGTCGTCATAGAGCACCTTGCGTTTTTTCGTGGTGCGTAGTGAAACAGGTAGAGGCCTCAATGTGGATGGCTGCAGTCCGAAGATTAGTGTCATGGAGTAGGTGATGCGGGTAGGTTGCATGGTGGGTTGAAATCAAACATCCATCTTCGGAGTAGGAGGCTCTTGTGGCCGACATAAAGATGCTGCGCGTTCAGTGGTTGTCGGCGTGCCAGGGGTCATGCTCCGGCTCATAGTTTTGGAGATGGAGCGGCAGGGGGCGCCCCTGCGTGTCGTAATACCCCGGTGGCAGGGGATGCGGGACTGTGGCAGTGGCTGTGGTGTTCGTGGGCGGCGTGGTGTATTCTGGAGCCAGTTGGGTTGGAGGTTGCTGTGATTGTTGGACAGGATAGTAGGATGGCCATGCGTGTGGCGGCGGTGGCGAGGCATGTGGAGGTGCTGAAGCCTGTGTCGGGTGGGCTGCCGCACCCTGGAAGATGGGCAGTGAGCGAAGGTGGATGTGAGGAGGGCTGTGATATCTGTGCTCATAAGGTTGACTTCTACCAGTCGCTTGCAGTTTTCACAAGCCCGGGGGAGGATAAAAGGTCAAGAACCGAAATTCCTCATGTGGGAACCCCTGCAGGCCACATTGGACCCAGGTTGTGGCTTACCGCTGCTTGTCGGTCCTTTGTGGTGGAGGGACGGGTTGCAAGGGTTGGTTGATGGCCGGAGCCTGATGGGTGGGATGCGAGGCGGGTGGGGGACGCTTTGGAAGAGGTTGCACTGTGGGAAGGAATTGTTGTGATGTTGAACGTGGTGCTGTGGGGGTGGGAACTGGCGATCCAGAACGTGGATCCGGCTGCTGAGTGCGTGTAGGGGTGGTCGAACGTGGGGTCTTGGAGCGCTTGGTGCGCGGGGTGCCGCCGATAGGGGAAGGGAAACCCTGAGTGAGTTCAGGGTGTGTCTGAGTGGTGACTGTAGGGGTGGGGATAAGGTTGACGTACTGCCAGCGTTCGTGGGGTTGCTTGTTTGCTGCGGCAGTGAGGGTGGGTGAGGTGGTGCTGGGAATGTTTGCTGTAGTATTGGAAGAGGTTGATTGCTCCGTTGGCGGTGTGACTGGGAGACTGGCGAAAGCAGGCAAGTGGACAATACCGTTGATGTCTGTCTGAGTGTGGCGGTGGTGAGTAGCCGGTCGCGGACTAGTCTGTTGCGATTGATGGAAGATGGGAAGGATGGCGGTGGAACAGCATGGCGAAAAGTCCAAGAAATTGTAGGTGTTTGAACAATGGTTGTTTCCCTTGACTGCGGTGACAAAGCGGCTCAAGTTGCACCTCTGCTGGGGAGGAAACCTGTTTATGGGGAAGGTAGCATAGGAACAACCATGAAAACAAAGAACAGCGGCGAGGGGAACCAGTGGAGTCAGTGTGTTGAAAGCAGGTACAGGAAGGTGATCAGCCTTCCCTTCCCATCCATGACCGCAGCTTCGTTGCACACGGTAGGTCATGGATGCCGTGTGCCCCTGCCTGTAGAACTGGGGTTGAAAAGTGGTAGTGGAAAAAGCGGTAGGAAACCCTTTGCCCAGGGGTGGACACACACTTCGAACTTGGGTTTTCAGTTATATTCAGTTGTCACGATGGGAAGGAAGGTGATGGAACGGCATGGTGAAAGGTCCGAAAACTTGAAGGTGTTTCAACATTGAAAGTTGTCATCCGCAGAAACACGCGAGCGACTGCGGTGAAAGGCTGCAAAAAACGCGTGGCTGCTGCAAGTGGCTGAAAGGAGAAAGGTTTGGGGGAAGTATCATGAACCACCATGGAAACAAACAGCAAAAGTGGACAGCGTGTGCAACAGTTGTTCGGCAGGTACACACTGAGACGTCTCTCAGTGCTTCCCCTCCAGCGACTTAGCTTCGTTGGGCAAGGTTCGTCGCTGGAGGCCTTGCCCCCCTGCCTGTGATGAATTCACATCAATGGAAAAAGAAAGGAACGATCTCGGTGGTAGTGGAAAAGTGAAAAGGTGGAAAACCCTTAGAACCAGGGTGTGACACACACAACACGCCGTGATCGGCGCACAGAGCGAGCGGCGGAAAACGCAAGTCTTTTTTCTCAAAAACCGCCTGCACGCGTGCAGGTCATGCCCTTTTTGGGCGTAGAGGTGGACCAAAGCTCGGGAACTCAGTATGTGTGCAGTGAAAAATTAATTAACTTGAAAAATTGGCATGCATTGTAATCTCCGGGATGTGAGCATGCATGCGTTGATCGTCGGTCAAATGGCTGCGGGTGGGAAATTAAATTGAAGTTGGAGAAAACGCAGCAATGCACAACGCGAATGAATGTCGGAGCGTTGAGTGGATAGTTCCTCGCTTATAGCCCGGCGGCTCGAAAATCAGGGAATTCAGGGATAAAATGGAAAACGTGGGGTCAGTTATAAGAAAGAAAAAACGATGCTTTCCGGAGTGATAGCAGCGCCTCCTTTCGGAGGATCGCACCCAGTACCCGAGTGGGAAGACTGAGCGGGTCACACTTCGAACTTGGGTTTTCAGTTATATTCAGTTGTCACGATGGGAAGGAAGGTGATGGAACGGCATGGTGAAAGGTCCTGAAAACTTGAAGGTGTTTCAACATTGAAAGTTGTCATCTGCAGAAAC